GCAAACCCTAAACCCTAAACCCTAAACCCTTTTGGCCGCTCAAGAAGCTCAGGCTCCGAGTCGCCCGGCTCTGCCAGAGCCTGGAGACGAAGGCCACGGTAGTTTTCAAGGGTTTTGGGGGGTTTAGGGGGTTTAGGGGGGGTTCAGGGGGTTTAGGGGGATTAGGGCTTAAAGGGGGTTTAGGGGGTTTTGGGGTTTAGGAGGTAAGTTTAGGGCGTTTAGGGGTTTAGGGGGTTTGGGGGGTTTTGGGGGGTCTAGGGGGTTTAGGAGGTTTATTGGGGGTTTGGGGGTTTAGGGGTTAAGTTTAGGGGGTCCAGGGGGTTTAGGGGGTTTAGGGTTTAGAGTTTCTGACAGAGTCCCACCAAAAAGAACTGGAAGTCTAGCCTCTGCTGCACGAAGCAAAGATTGAGGTGGAGCGGCTCTCAAGGCAGGCGAAAGAGCAGGCCTCCAAAGGTGAGGTCTTGGAGGACACAGATCCGCTAAGAGCGACGTTGGTCAGCCTTGACATGCAACTCATGCAGCTGCATCCTCTGGCTCCATTTTGTCTTCAACTATTTTAACTATTGCCAGGACAGGCTGAGCTCCCAGGCGAAGGGCATGGAAGCCTGCAGAGAGGCACGGCGCCACCTTGCGTCGGACGCACGTCATGCTGCAAGTCGGGTGCGTGCAACATGCGTCTGCAGGCAGTGGAAGGCTTGAGAGATAAGTTCCAGCGCAATGTGCAGGACCTGCCCGAATGCAAGTTGCTTTAGCCAGACAAGTTCCTGTTCTAGAAACTCTAGCAGACCAGAAATCCAAAGGGGAGACGTGCAGCGGACGAAGATGCGAAGAGACGGGTAAGGAAGTCTTTGTGGCATGTACTCGGGGGAGGGGCCTGAGCCACCGAATGTCAGGACATCGGGGGCTCCCTTGTCTCAGCACGTGCGGAGCTCACGGAGGATTCGGAGCGAAGGCACCAGAGCCTGCAGGAGGCCGGGAGGGGCTTAGCGGCGTTTGCTTCAACGTCGTTATCTTTCCGCTGCTTGTGCCATTCGGCTTCGTTCCAGCGCCATTGGCCCCCTTGAGATCTCCTTGCATCATTTTGGGGCGCACGCCCCGTGAGACAAGCTTGGTCTTTGGATCTGCCTTGGGCATTGCTGAATCACTGTCGTGATTTCAGTCAACATGCCCGAGAGTGTGTGGGCGACAGCAAGGAGCAGCAGAAGAACAGTGAAGCTGTTTCCATGGCATCAGCAGCATCCGTCGTCAAGACATAGAATTGCCAACAAGAAGCATGAATCGAGCACCAAAGAGAGCACTGTTGGGCACCGTACCTCAACACAATCCGTGAGTCGCCTCTGAGGTGCTCAACTTGAATCTGCAACGCCAGTTCATGCGCAAAACTCAAGCTGTGAAGTCCTCTTTGGAACGAACTTGTTTGGCGGCCGGCCCTACAGAAGCTTGCATGGAAGAAGTCATGAGTTTGCCAAGAGTGGCGCCTTTGGATGTTCGGACCTTCAGGCCATGCGCAGGGGCGACCGCTGCCTGGCCGAAGAGTTCTTCCGGAAGTTACAGGAGTCCAGCGAGAAGCCGGGGCCTCGATGGGGCGGCTAAGCCTCTACGCCGGGGCTGCCGAATCTGCCGAGGCTCTCCGGCAATCTGCAAGTCCTGGAGGCCAGGCCCGAAGGCTCAGTGCTCGTGAACCTCCTCGGTGCAAGCATGGGGTGAGAGGATGCCTTGGCCACCTTCGTGCGGCAGACCCGTGTGCAGATCGCCGACTTGAGCGAGCAGCTGGAGGAGCGGAGTCGGATCCCTTCTTCGGGGATGCGATGACTAGCCCCAGACGTAGCAGCCTCGCCTCCCGGCTTTGAAGCTCAGAGCTAACCGGGGCGATGCTCCCCTCCGGGAGGCCCGCGGCAAGGACCACGTGGCGCTGCGAGGGCAGGCAGCGGAGCACGGGCCACAGTTTGGACTCTTTGGGGCTCGCAGGGTCTCAGGGAGTCTAAACCCAGGGTGGACTTGTTGAATTTATCGGGCATGTCTGCTGCAGAGTTGGGCCTTTGATATTTTTTTGGATGGGGCTGATTAGCATCGCTTGACCTGGCAGATACAGGCGGAGGCTACCAGGAGCTCTGTGTTGATCAGTCGAAGCGAAAGCACGGATCCTCTGTTGCAGTAGGTGGTCCAGTCGTGCATCTAATAATCGGTAGGACGAGAGCTGGACTGACTTGACTAAACCTCAGCCAACGTCCTGAGGCTCTGCAAGTTCGAGGCTCACGGGCTGTCAGACGTGTTTCCGGCCTCTGCACACTAGCCGTATCTCTTGAACCGGTAGCGGAGGTTTGAGTGCCTCGGTTGTGGGATGCCTGTTTGGGCGACACGGCAGGAAGCCAGTGAAGTTATCAGACACTCGGGTTCTTTCTGGCTTGGTCGCGCATTGGCAGAGACGCAACCCCAGCCTATGTGCGGTAAAGGGAAT